CCGCACGACGCGCGGCCGAGCGAGGTGGAGGAGTGGGGAAGAGGGGGGGGGGGGGGAAGGGAGGGGGGGAGGGGGGGAGGCAAACAAAAGAAGGGGGGGGGGGGGGCAGAGAGAGAAAGTGGGAGAGAAAATGAGGATTTTTTTGAAGGGGAGAAGAGTCAGGGGAGCAGGAGTCAGACATGAGCCAGAGAGTTAGGGCCACAAGCAGGGATGCAGTGTGTATGTGACAGACAGTAAAACAGCAAACAGAGTGGGGGCGTAAGGGCATAAGTGGGGACATTAGGGTGGGAGGGGTTGAAGAGCCAGAAAGAGGGGAGTTAAGAGACCCCACAGACAGAGTGTGTTAAAACAGCCGAGAGAGGGGGGTTTGTGAAGCGGCAGACAGAGGGTATGAAGAGGCAGAGACAGAGGAAAATGAAGAGAAAAAAAAAATCACCATCAGTTGAAGCTGATCCCACAGCCCACCCTGAATCCATACACACCCCGAAACCAATCCTTGAACATACATATGCACTCTCAGAGGGCAGACTCAAACATCCTGCTACATCCATAGTCTTTTGGTCTCCTGACTTCTCTCCACATCACCTCCAGGCCCCTGCATACCCTCTCCCCTTCACACTGCACAACTGGTTACCCCACACCCTACACGCATCCAAACTGATTCTCCATGCCTTTTAACTACTGGTAGGTGTATCATTTGCATAGCTCCACGTGGCATAGGTGTTAATCATGGGTAATGAGGAACTCACTGCTTCATGTTAACTATATACGGAATCCGCTGCTCACACTAACGTGAGGAAAGGATGGTGTCAGAATGGACATGGCCAAGACATGCCATTACCATCCAACAGGCTCACAAGGACTCACTGCTGCCACGCACATTCCTTTCAGAAGGGAAGGGCAGAGGAAATGGTGACAGCGCAAGCCAAGGTGCAGCCGGGAAGGTAAGTTTTCCTTATAAAAACTTACCTTGTGAGTCTTTTTGATTTGAGTGGCGCGACTGGTGAGAGCGCGAGCCGGGAAGTGAACTATTATATTTGGGCACTGGCTAAACCTGAAACACTACACCATCTATCCTCCTCCTCTAACCAAAAAAAGTGTGGAGGGTCGGAAAGGTAAGTTTTTTTCTCTTTATTCTTTTGGCAATCTAGAGTAGAGGGAATGGAAGCTAGGGCAGCTGCATGCTCCTCTTGCAGGATGTGTGAGGTAAGGGTCACTCCTAGTGTCCCTTCTGACTTCACCTGCGAGAAGCACATCCAACTCCAGCTTCTCACAGACCGTGTTAGGGAACGAGCTGGAGCTGGAGCTGGATCAACTCCGGATCATTCGGGACGCTGAGGGGGTGATAGAGAGGAGTCATAGGGAGGTGGTCACACCCAAGTTACAGGACAAAGGTAGCTGGGTGACTGTCAGTAGGGGGGAAAAGGAATAGGCAGACAGTGCAGGGATCCCCTGTGGCCGTTCCTCTCAATAATAAGTACACCGCTAGTTGAGGGGGGGAGATGACCTACTAGGGGAAAGCCATAGCAGCCAGGTCTCTGGCACTGAGCCTGGCTCTGTGGCTCAGAAGGAAAGGGGGAAGAATAGGAGAGCAATAGAGATTCAATGGTTAGGGGAGCAGACAGGAGATTCTGTGGTACTGAGTCAGACTCCCAGATGGTATGTTGCCTCCCAGGTGCCACGGTCAGGGATCAAGTCTTCAGATTCTTAAGAGGGAGGGAGTGCAGCCAGAAGTCGTGGTACACATCGGTACCAATGACATAGCTAGGAAACGGAATGAGGACCTGAAAAGTGAATATAGGGAGTTAGGATGAAAGCTGAAAGCCAGGACAACCAGAGTAGTAATCACACGATTACTACCGGTGCCATGGGCCAGTGAGGCCAGAAACAGACAGCGAGTGCTGCTGAACACGTGGCTACAGAGCTGGTGTAGCAGGGAGGGCTTCAGGTTTGTGGATCATTCAGATACCTTCTGGGGAAGGAGGGACCTGTACAGGAAGGACGGGTTGCACCTGAACTGGAGGGACACCAATATCCTGGGCAGGAGGTTTGCTAGAGCTCTTCGGGAGGGTTTAAACTAGAGTGGCAGGGGGATGGGAACCGCAGCTACAGATCAGAGGACGGGGTAGCCAGTATACAGGCAGAGGAAGCAGAGAATCTGCGAGGAAAGATAAGCAGTTGATAGGACAAAGTGGCAGTCAGTGCGACAGGCTGAGATGTGTCTACTTCAATGCAAGAAGTGTCAGGAATAAGGGTGACGAACTTAAGAGCATGGATCAGTACTTAGAACTATGATGTTGTGGCCATTATGGAGACTTGGATAACACAGGGACAGGAATGGTTCTTGAATGTTCCGGGGTATAGATGTTTCAAAAGAAATAGGGAGGGAGGTAAAAGAGGTGGGGGAGTGGCATTGCTAATCAGGGATGGGATCACAGCTGAAGAAAGGGAGGTCGTGGAGAAGGGTTTGTCTACTGAGTCAGTATGGGTGGAAGTCAGAAACAGGAAGGGAGCAGTCACTTTATTGGGAGTTTTCTATAGACCCCCCCAATAGCAACAGAGACACTGAGGAGCAGATTGGGAGACAGATTTTGGAAAGGTGCAGAAGTAGTAGGGTTGTTGTCATGGGTGACTTCAACTTCCCTAATATAGACTGGAAGTGCAAATAGTTTGGATGGTGCAGATTTTGTCAAGTGTGTCCAGGAAGGATTTCTGACTCAATATGTAGATAGGCCGACTAGAGGGGAGGCCATATTGGATTTGGTGCTTGGCAACGAAACAGGCCAGATGTCATATCTCTCAGTGGGAGAGCATTTCGGTGATAGTGATCACAACTCCCAGACCTTTACTATAGTCATGGAGAGGGATAGGAGCAGACGGTATGGGAAACTATTTAATTGGGGGAGGAGGAGTTATAATGCTATTAGGCAAGAACTACGTAGCACCAACTGGGATCAGATATTCTCAAGGAAATGTACGACAGAAATGTGGAGGTTGTTTAGGGAGCAGTTGCTACAAGTACTAGACAGGTTTGTCCCACTGAGGCAAGGAAGGGATGGTAAGGTGAAGGAACCTTGGATGACAAGACATGGAACATCTAGTCAAGAGGAAAAAGGAAGCTTACTTAAGGTTGAGGAAGCAAGAATTGGACAGGGCTCTGGGGTCTACAAGGTAGCCAGGAAGGAACTGAAGAAAGGACTTAGGAGAGCTAGAAAGGGGTATGAAAAAACCTTGGCGGGTATGATCAAGGAAAACCCCAAGGTGTTCTATGCTTATGTGAGGAACAAGAAGATGGCCAGAGTGAGGGTAGGGCCAATCAGGGTTAGTTGAGGGAACTTGTGCGCAGAGTCAGAGGAGGTAGGGGTGGTCCTTAATGAATACTTTGCTTCAGTATTTACCAGTGAGAGGGACCTTGATGTTTGTGAGGACAGTATGAAACAGGCAGACATGCTCAAACAGGATGATGTTAAGGAGGAGGATGTGCTAGAAATTTTGAAAAACATGGGGATAGCTAAGTCCCCTGGGCCAGACAGGATATACCCAAGGTTACAGACCGGACAGTCTTACTTCTGTGGTGGGCAAATTATTGGAGAGGATTCTGAGAGTTAATATTTCTGATTATTTGGAAAAGCACAGTTTGATTAGAAATAGTCAGCATGGCTTTGTGAGGGGCAGGTCATGCCTCACAAGCCTTATTGAATTCTTTGAGGATGTCGATGAGGGTAGAGCAGTAGATGTGGTGCATATGGATTTTAGCAGGGCATTTGATAAGGTTCCACATGGTAGGCTCATTCAGAAAATAAGGAGGCATGGGATTCAGGGAAATTTGGCTGTCCGGATACAAAACTGGCCGTCCAATAGAACACAGAGGGTGGTAATAGATGGAAAGTATTCAGCCTGGAGCTCGGTGACTAGTGGTGTTCTGCAGGGATCTGTTCTGGGACCTCTGCTCTTTATAAATGACTTGGATGAGGAAGTGGAAGGGTGGGTTAGTAAGTTTGCTGATGACACAAAGCTTGGAGGAGTTGTGGATAGTGTGGAGGGCTGTTGTAGGTTGCAACGGGACATTGACAGGATGCAGAGCTGGGCAAAGAAGTGGCAGATGGAACTTAACCCAGAAAAATGTGCAGTGATTCATTTTGGAAGGTCAAATTTGAATGCAGAATACAGGGTTAATGGCAGGATTCTTGGCAGTGTGGAGGAACAGAGGGATCTTGGGGTTTACATCCATAGATCCCTCAAAGTTGCCACTCAAGTTGATAGAGTTGTTAAGTAGGCATATGGCATGTTGGCTTTCATTGGCAGGGGAATTGAGTTTAAGAGACATGACGTTATGCTGCAGCTCTATAAAACTCTGGTTAGACCACACTTGGAATATTGTGTTCAGTTCTGGTCACCTCATTATAGGAAAGATGTGGAAGCTTTAGAGAGAGTGCAGAGGAGATTTACCAGGATGCTGCCTGGACTAGAGGGCAGTCTTATGAGAAAAGATTGAGGGAGCTAGGGCATTTTTCATTGGAGCAAAGAAGAATGAGAGGTGACTTGATAGACATGTACAAGATGATGAGAGGCACAGATAGGGTGGATAGTCAGAGACATTTTCCCCAGGGTGGAAATGACTATTACGAGGGGGCATAATTTTAAAGTGATTAGAGAAAGGTATGGGGAGATGTCAGAGGCAGGTTCTTCACAGAGAGTGGTGGGCGTGTGGAAAGCGCTGCTGGCAGTGGTAGTGGAGTCAGATACCTTAGAGACTTTTAAGTGACTCTTAGATAGGCACATGGAGAATAGTAAAATGTAGGGTGTGCAAGGTAGATCAATATCTTAGTCGGATAATAGGTCGGCACAACATCGTGGGCCGAAGGGCCTGTACTGTGCTGTACTGTTCTATGTTATATTAAGTGCAGGGGAGCCCTCCGCCTGTGATCCAAGCTGAGCCCTTGCCTGTCCCACCGTGCACCTGTCGAGCAGAGTACATGGTTAATTCTACAGCACTATCCTCCAGCTGGCATATTGTATTTCAGGCTGGAAGGTGCCGAGCTTCACCTGGTCCTCAGGAACATTTGATGGCCTATGGATGTTCCTACTTACCTTCTTTCTGACTCCCTGCTGCACTGAGGCTCTGCTGGCTGAGGAGACATTGGTTGTAGAGGGAGGGGAGTGCTGCAGCTGCATACTGCTGAATCCCTGAGTATGCTTGTGTCAGAGCATCCATGGTACTGCCTGTACCATTCGACAGGCCTCCAGATCCAAGCCCTCCATTCAAAGCTGCCATACCTGGGGATCAACAGCAGTGTTCATATCAACTTGCAGAATTTGTTACATTAGCCCATCATGAGGCAACAAGCTCGGCCAACAGCCAGCCCTGGTTAGGATGTAACCTAACAACTCCCACAACAGACTGGAGTCCCACTTCCTATTTCCAAAATACACCCTTCTCTAGACAGGACCTCAACATCTCTCAATTCCACCCAGGCCAGAGTGTGGCCCCCTCCTCAACCTCCACAAGCTGCCCTCTATTCCCAGGCCGAAGTTCGACAAAAACCCAATGGAGGTGCAATATAGTCACCGTAACCACATGTCCTACTCATTCATTTATGCTGACGGAAACTTTCTGAACTTCGCCTGACAAGTAGCAGCTATGCTGCAGGAAAGGCCTCCATTTTTGAAATGTCGCCACGCGTTGATAAAATGCTAAAACTAAATGCACATCAAACTTGCTGCCGTTGCTGACTTGCTTCATGTCTGAGCTGGTGAGAATAACATGCTCTTCACCTGCTAAAGAGCTGACGTTGAGACCGCCTGATGCCCCTGCCAGCGTCTGCAGTGCCCCCAGCGATGCCATTGGGTTCACCGATGAGGAGCTGGTACTGTTACTGCTTGAAGACCCTGCAGTGAAAGAAGGAATGTCAAAAAATGAATGAGGACAAATCGTTTGGATGCACCCCTTTCAAATGGGATGAACTGTTAGAGAAAGTGGTAGATGTAGGTACGGTTACAACATTTAAGAGACACTTGGACAGGTACTTGAATAGGAAATGTTTAGAGGGCTATGGCAGGTGGGATAGTTTAGTTTGGGAACTTGGTCAGCATGGAGGAGTTGGACCGAAAGATCTGTTTCCATGCTGTATGAATATGATTGTGGAAAATCCCAAGGCATTTTATAAGTACATTAAGTGTAAGAGGATTACCAGCGTAAATGTGGGGGCCTATTAGAGATCTAGGGACAATCTGTGCCAGGAGCCAGAGGATGTGGGTGAGGTCTTAAACAAATAATTCTCATTTGCATTAACAAAGGAGAAAGACATTCTAGCTGGAGATTTTACTTGGGATGGTGGAGTTCTAGAACATGTTAGCATTAGGAAGGAGGAGGTACTAGATGTTTTAGCAGGCATGAAGATGTATAAATCTCCAGGGCGCATTGAGATGTATCCCAGGCTGCTATGGGAGGCAAGGGAGGAGACTGCTGTTGCCCTGGCAGTGATATTTAATAGCTGGCCACAGAAGAAATGCCCATTGACAGTTGGATGGCTAATGTGGTTCTTTTATTCAAAAAGGGCAGTTGTGATAGGCCAGGTAATTAAAGACTATTAAGTCTGACATCAGTGGTAAGGAAATTATGGAAACAATTCTGAAAGACAGGATTAATTAACACTTATAAAGGCAGAGATTGATCAGGGATAGTCAACACGGATTGGTTGGAGGGAGATCCTGCCTGGCTAATTTAATGAAGTTTTTGAAAACATGACTAAATATGTCAATGAGGGTAGTGTAGTTGATGTGATTTACATCGACTTCAGCAAGGCCTTTGACGAGGTCCCACATGGACAGATGATCCAAAATATAAGAGCTCATGACGGATCCAATACAAGTTGGCGAACTGGATCCAAAACTGGCTTCCAAATAGGAGACAAAGTGTGATAGTGAAGGGTTGTTTTTGTGTTTGGAAGGCTATGACCAGTGGTGTTATCATAGGCATTGGTGGAGGGACCCTTCCTGTTTGTTATGACTTGAATGTCAATGTAAAAGATACAATTAGCAAGTTTGCAGATGACACGAAAACTGGTGGTGCTGTTGATAGTGAGGAGGATGGTCTCAGGTGACAGTCTGATATTGATCAGCTGGTAAACTGGACAGACCAATGGTAGATGGAATTAAATGTCGCTAAGTGTGAGGTGATGCATTTTGGGAAGTCTAATACGGGAAGGATTAACAAAGAATGGTAGGCCCTTTGGGAGTACTGAGGAACAAAGGGACCTTGATGTACAAGCCCATAGATCCCTGAAGGTGTCAGCACAGGTAGACTGGATGGTGAAAAAGGCATAAAGGGTGCTGCACTCATTGGCCAGATAGAATATAGGATAAGGGAAGTCTTGTTACAACTTCACAAAACATTGATTGGGCCACAGGTCGAATTCTGTGTGCAGTTCTGGTTGCCATATTATTGGAAGAACATGATTGCACTGGAGAGGGAGCACAGCAGGATTTTGCCTGGGAAGAGAAGTCTCAGTCACGAGGAGAGACTGCAGGCTGGGTTTGTTTTCCCAGAAGCAGAGCAGGCTAAAGGGGGGATCTGATTGAGGTACACAAAATTGACAGGAAACCTCATTGCAACGTCTCTGCCAATCACTTGTCAACCATTTTGGCTTGTGACAAATTTTGACAGTTTGAAATTTGGCTTTTTTAGATTTGTCCTGATCTCCACAAAACAAAAAGCTTTGATAACATTAGGAGAGGCATTGAGTACAGAAACAAGAAAATTATGCTGAAGTAAAAACAGAAATTACTGGACAAAGTCAGTAGGTCTGAGGACATCTGCAGACAGAAAGCAGGGCTAACATTTTGAGTCCTGTGATTCTTCTCTGACCCCCCCTTCTTTCACTGGCCTTGAAATGTTAACTCTGCTTTCTTCCCACAGATGCTGTCAAACCTGCTGAGTTTCATCAGAATTTCTGCTTTTCTTTCAGATCTTCAGCATTGGCAGTTTTTAGTTTTATTAAAAGTATGCTGATACTTTATACAGCTCTGGTTAGGTCACAAGCAGAGCATTTTCTTCAGTTCTGGTTTCTGTACTTTCAGAAGAATGAGAGCGTCCTTGACAGAACACAGAGAAGATTTATGAGAATAGTACCAGGGTCGAGAGATGTTAGCTACAAGATTTGGATGGAAACGCCAGGGTTGTTCTCCATTGAACAATGCAAATTGAGGGGAAATATGATGAGGTGTACAAGATGAAAACAGCTTTTAAGACAAAGGAAAAGCCATCCCATTAGGTTTTGGGAGATATATTAGGATGCCCTCTCATGAAGTAATTAAAGCACTCAGGAGCCGTGGCACTGCTCAATGGTTTGACAATCTTACCTGAACATGTCAATGCACTCAGGGGACTGCTGCCTGTCGTCAATGCATTGGTGCCTGGTGCTGTGTTCTGAGCTGCACTTGCTGCTGCAGCCAGAGCAGCGAGGTTCTGTAACTGCATGGCATTCAGACCTGAAAGGGAATGAGATGCTGTATTCATGCAACGTAAAGACCATTTTCAAATGGCCTGTGTTGGATAATGTAGCACTTGTGGGAAATGAATGATGAATCCCAGAGGAAAACCCTCAGGTATGGGTCTTTGTGCCCAAGATCCTCACTTTCAACCACACCCACTACCAGAGGGCAAGAACACACTCACGCTTGTCACACAGTGGGCCCAGAGACTAAGCACAGTCTCAGCTAATCATCCACAGATATACTTGATGGGTATGACAAATGGAACCATGATGCCGCCCGGGCCCCCACTGCCACCCGAATATGTGTTGAGTAGGGATTGTGTGCAATAAGGGACGAGCACAGACAGGACAGAGGTACTCACCAGCCATGGGATGTAGGTTGCTCAGTGCATTGAGGTTCCCCGAGGACGCTGACTGCTGTAGGAGCTGCAAATAAAGCTAGACATTACACCAAAACAAAACAGAGTGTGTCAGCAGTGTCCGGAGTACCAGGCAATGAGAGAGACAAAGAGACAGAGATCGCGAGCTCGGGGTGCGGTGGCAGGGGGAGGGGCGAGTTTGGTGGTGGTGGTGGTGGCGGCGGTGGCGGGGGCGGTGTGGGAGGGCGAGGAGAAGGTCAGGGCCAGAAGAGGTGGGGCGGGTGGCGGAAAGAGCACAAGGTTGGGGCAGAAGAGGGGGGAGTGAATGCAAGACAGAGAGAGAGGGAGAGCGCGGCAGGGCGCGCAGGCGAGAGGGAGAGCGCGGCAGGGCGCGCGGGTGAGAGAGAGGGGCGCGGCGCGCGGGTGAGAGAGAGGGGCGCGGCGCACGCGCGACAGAGACCGAGGGACAGAGCGCGCCAGAGAGAGAGATAGAGCGAGACAGAGAGCACCAAAGAGAGAGAGACAGAGCGCGCCAGAGAGAGAGACAGAGAGAGAGACACAGCGAGACAGAGAGCGCCAAAGAGAGAGAGACAGAGAGAGAGACAGAGCGCGCCAGAGAGAGAGACAGAGAGAGAGATACAGCGAGACAGAGAGCGCCAAAGAGAAAGAGACAAAGAGAGAGACAGAGCGCGCCAGAGAGAGAGAGACAGAGAGACAGAGTGCACCAGAGAGACAGAGAGAGAGATACAGCGAGACAGAGCGCCCCAGAGAGAGAGATACAGCGAGACAGAGCGCGCCAGAGAGAGAGACAGAGAGAGAGATAGAGCGAGACAGAGAGCGCCAAAGAGAGAGAGACAGAGCGCACCAGAAAGAGAGACAGAGAGACAGAGCGCACCAGAAAGAGAGACAGAGAGACAGAGCGCGCCAGACAGAGAGAGAGACAGAGCGCGTGCCAGAGAGACAGAGCGCGTGCCAGAGAGA